AAAAAAAAAACTGAAACCCGTAAGCTGATTCATAGTTGAAGCACCTAAGAAATTTCAAGCTTGTATAACTTCGAAGCCGTACTGATGAGCAATCCCGTTATGCCCCGTTATGTACAGTAATAAATAAGTTTATGAATCTACACTCTCCACATAAGCATTCAAGGAGTGCCCTTCGATGCTCCGCTCAAGTGTCTATCGAAAAACTGTTTGCTCAAAAAATGAAAGGGTTCACGATCTCAATAAAATCTTATAGGGTCACGTCACTGCAAATGAACAATGGAGAATGCCGAACACATAAAACCCAGCGATGACCCAGAAATGCAACACCATTGAAGCGTAAAATGCAAAAAGTCGTGACCATAAAAACTGTGTCGATTTATAGCCTCACCTGGAAAAGTACCTCATCACCTTCGACATCTATAACAAAGCTGTTGACACCCTCCGAAACGGCTTTTTCCATTTCCTTTTTCACGCTTTCAGACCATTGCTGTACCACTATCTGGAGATGTAAACATTACTGCTTGTGTCATTTACTCTGGAAAAAACGCTTACTGAAAGCCCAATATTGCATAGAGACGATGACAGCCCCTCCTTGACTCTGAAGAAGGAGGATGTGAGCGATTCTCCATTTCTGGGAGAAACAATGTCGATAACCTGAACAAAGCAAATTTGCCGCTAATTTCAAACCAGATTCTAAATGAAGGTAATTTACTGTAGCAGTCCCTCCTGCAATAGCGGCTTTACAGCCGGTTAACAGATCGTCGGCAGAATCGGGGGCAGTTAAGTGGGTATGGACGTCGATACCCGCTGGTAATAACATCTTGCCCGCAGCATCCAAGACCTCTGCGTCTGCGGGAATCTCCAAACCGGCGCCCACATTCCTGCAAGTGCTTGCTATTGTTTGAAATTAGGTGTCCGATTATTGCTCGCAGAGAAAACAGGTTTTAGACTAAAAAACAACAATTAATTATTGAGTGCTGACAGTTGCGAAGGAATCATCTAATGCCCCTCCAA